TCCCCTTATTGGTCCTTTGGGTCAGGTGTCAGCCAGGTTACCTGAGCTTCTTAACCCTTTACAGGTAAAAGGATTTTGGAGTCTGTGGCCAGGAGGGATTTTATAGTATTGTACACAGGAGGGCTGTTACCCTTCCCTTTATAGTTATGACAGTGCCTAAATAGCTTTGAAAATCTGTCCTTATGTCTGTGTGTGCCTCGGTGCCCCATCTGTACAATGGGGATAACAGCACTGCTCTACCTCGCTGAGGGGCTGTGAGGAGAACTAGGTTAGAGATTGAGAGAGGCCACATAAGTAGCACAGGTAGAGTGGGAACCTCTCTATACACTGCTATCCCTTCCCTGGGGTTTGCCCCCTTCTTTTCACCTATGCCCCAAAATCTCCCTTTTCTGAATGTAACCTTGTCCCAGAGGGCTTGGCTGTATTTCTTCTGAATCATCTGGGGTCTCTCCAAAACAACTCTCCCTCCCCCACTCCACAGTACCCCCTCTCCCAGCGGTTATGGTACTCACCTAGGAGACCTAGTTTCAAGTCTGTGGTCCTCTGAGGCAGTGTACAAATTCAAACCTGGGTCTTCTACATCCTAAATGAGTGCTGTAACCACTGGTTTATTGGGTACAAGAGCGCCTCCTCCTCCAGCTGTGTTTTATGTGGGGCCCGACCCAGTAAACATGCTCTAAGGCAGCCTCTGAGTACCTCCGGGATGGGACCCCACAGGCAAGATAGCCGGGGAATGCCTAGTTTGTGAATCCTGCTAGGGCTTAAGCATGAGTTGCTTTTCACTTGCAATGCTGGAATGCCTGACTTCATGGGGTCTTTGGGTGGCTGTGAAGACCCCCTACAGGACAGACATATATACAGCAACACACTCTAAAAATCTGATTGGACATTTATTTTTAACACAAATCACCATGGGCCAGAACCGGTGCGGGAAAAAGATGTTACTGAATTGACTGTGTAACGTATGTAGTACACAAGTGCCCCAGACACGTGGCTGCAGCCTGTCTGCTTGACACCAGTGGATTGCATGCTCATGGATCTAGATGGAAGGAAAATCCTGTCTTGTGAGTGTCTGTCCTAATTACCACTTGCTTGCTGGATAAACCACTTCATTATGGGTTAGTGTCTACACAAGGAATGTAGATCGCGTGGGGATAGCTTCCCAGGCAGCATGATTTCACATCTTATTCTACCACACTAGGAAGCTATCTCCCATGCGAACTACATTTCTGCATAGGCATTACTCACCATCACTGCTACATTTATGGTTTACTCTCTTGCTTAAAAATGTGGAGAAAAATATGCTCATTGGTCCTAATCTTTACATGTATTCTCGGTGTCACATATATAATGCCTCCAACAGGGCGTCTTTAGGATTTATGGGGCCCTACGCAGTATTATTAAACAGGTGCCTCTATGCCCGACGGCAGCCCAGGCTCGCAGCTGGGAGGGGAAGAAGGGGAAGGGACGAGGCAGCAAAGGAGACTGAGACGTCCGGCCCACCTTGCGGCGGCTGAGAGTCACAGTTCCCCGCCTAAGGACACTGCAGTGCGCGCTGGGTGTGTGGGAGCCGACCCGCTCTTACCTGCTGTCATGGGTGGTGAGTGAAGCTGCTGCTTGGGGAGGCTAGCTCCCCAGCCCACTTCTTCTGCCTGTGGCCCCACCCATACTCCACCCTGCTCCACCCCAGGCCCCGCCCCCCACTCCGCCCAGGCCCCCCACCTCCACTGTCTCCCTCCTCTCTTCCATCCCCCTCCCTGCTCACCCCCTTCCAGCCAAATCCCTGAACCCAAATGAAGCAAATGACATTAGAAAGAAATTGCAGAAGAGTGTTTTTTTTTAAAAGAAAATGGAGCACGTTTTCCACTGCATGCCTAGGGTTACCTTTCGTCTGGATTCTCCCGAATATGTCCGGCTTTTCTGAGTTAAAAATAGCATCCGGGGGGAATTTGTAAATATCCGGATTTCCCCCCATGCAGAGCACGCACGGCTGACAGGGCAGCCGGCCGGATTGCGCCACTCGCACGGGGCTCCGGCAGCCAGAGCCCCTCCTCCGCTTCC